TCCTGTTTTGCTCTGATTTAATTTTCTTTCGAGTACACTCTAACACTTATATTGTCTTATATCTCGGTGCAGTCTTTGGCGTTGGCTCATGCCGATATTGATGATGGGAAGGTCGTTTTTGTCCCGTGGGTCGAGACAGATTTTAGAACTGGTGAAAACCCTTGGTGGTCGTAAAACTTTCGAATTTTCATCTGATAGTGTTTTGTGTCGTATATTCACATCGTTTATCTTTCATGAAAAAATCTGTTGTTAATTGTTATAGACAATTCAGAATATAGCTGTGTTGTGTTGTTATCATTGAATGTTATTCTATTGTGAATAATTCTTGATTATTTGTAATTAATTTGGGAAGTTAAAAGGATGTGCCACGAGCTTCATGTCATTAGCCAGAGAGAATAAACGATCACTGGATTGTTTCAAACATTTCTTTCCTCTGGCAGACAGGTACTTTTATGTGTACCCTTTTGGACATTCTAAAAAATAAGCCCTCAATTTGCTTTGTGCCCGGCAATAACTCGTTTCCTTTGTTGATTTTCGAGTCGACCGACAGTTTTGACTCGCTCGTCGAGAACCAAACATGAGATGCAGATGCATTTTACGATTATATCCCTCAAATTGCCACCTATAATTATGAATGAGCCCCGATCACAAGCTGCTCCAAACGCATTTTATGAAATCAAGAAATTGAATTATTCGGTTCTACTGAGCTTGTTTAAAGTTTGTTTAGTTAACGAACTGATATGAGTTCGGCTTGTTAAGACTTGGAAATGAGAGCCTTTACAAGGTTTTCTATTTTTCTTTTTTATTATCTTAGTTTATCTCATCAAGACTCGAATTCAGCTTGCTAATTAAAGAGAGGCGCGACTCGATCACAACTCGACTATCAGAAGTTCGACTCGACTCTCGTATGCACCTCTTAGCTGTATACTTAATAATGTTTATACTTCACGTTCTTGTTTTTTGGTTTCATATGTCAGAATTCAAAACACGTTTAAGATGAAGAAAGCACTTCTCCTTGAGCTATTGAAGAAGAGAAAACTAAAAAGTAATTATAATGGTTATTTCCTTGAATCTTCAAGGTAGATAAAGTCGTCGTTTTTTTCTCCTTGTGATGTGAACAATTTTTGGATTATTCTTGTTGAAAGAAAATTTGGAACAGGCTACAGCAAAAAAATATAATTGGACTTATTCATGTGAAATGGGATAGAATAAACAATCATTTTCATAAATTATTTATTCCATCTACAGTTTTAATAAAACAAATCTTGAAATTAAAAAAAAAAAAAAGTAAAAAAATCCATGCACAAACACAACTGCTTAGATAAGTTTTCTTTCCTTTTGTACCATTCAATATATTAATTAAATTTAAAGCACGTCAATGTTCCCGATGAGTGTTGGAGTCACTCACGACAATCCTTACTTGATTCCAAATTCCAATTGGTCAATTGTGTAAATTGTCCACTCAAAGATCGAGAATCTTCTCTGTGTCAATAAACAATTCTGTTATTGTTGGATATACTAATTTTTTCTATTAAAAAAATGTTCCACTAAAGAATAATGATGAAAAACTACGGCCCTCAAAAAGTCAAAAGCCTCTAGAAAAAATTTGGAGACTTTGCTACCCAAAGCAAATACTGTACAAAACAAGAAGTTATGTACAACATTCTTTATTACTCCATTATTGGCTCTATAAGAAAAACATTCTTCCAAGTTCCACACTAAACTTCATTATAAAACAAAGACCAATAGTTCAAAAAAAAAAAGTGAGCAATCAATATTCAATACTTAACATACCATGACTACCCTTATAGAAACCTCAAAAGTTGGGCCGCTGCCGGCGGTGGCCCCGGCAGCCCACCGGACTTTGCCGCTCACCTTTCTCGACCTCTGCTGGCTCCATTTCCACCCAATTCGCCGCCTTTTCTTCTACGATTGCTCCTTTTCCAAGTCGCATTTCCTCGAAAGCTTCGTACCCAAGCTCAAACACTCGCTCTCGTTAGCTCTCGAACTCTATTTCCCGCTCGCCGGGACTTTAATCTACCCTTCCGACACCGAAAACCACAAACCCACCATCCGTTACTCGCCCGGCGACTCGATCCCATTCTCGATTCACGAGTCGTCGGAGGCCGGCGAAATTTTCGACTCGCTCGTCGGTAACCAACCGCGACACGCCGACGCATTTTACGATTATACCCCTCAACTTCCACAAATTGTAACCGAGCCCGACCGCAAGCTCCTCCGATTGCTTGCGGTCCAAGTAACCCTTTTCCCGGGCCGCGGCGTGTGCATCGGGCTAACCAACCACCACTCGGCCGGCGATGCGAGCTCGATCGTGGGCTTCGTTCGGGCTTGGGCCTCGACGTGCAAATCCGGTCTTCTCGAGAACGCTCGTCCGGTTTTCGACCGGGGCTTGATCGACGACCCATTGGGAAGATTGGAATCGGTTTATTGGGACCAAATGAGACGAGTCCCGTTGACTCTTTCGCCATTTCCCCTGCCCACAAACAGGGTTCGGGCCACGTACATTCTAGACCGGGCCCGAATCGAGAAGCTCAAGGATTGGGTGGGGGCGAAGTCAGGATTTTCGGGCCTCGACCGCCCGTCATCGTTTGTGGTGGCCTCGGCTCACGTGTGGACGTGCCTCGCGAAATCGCTCGTTTGGGACGACAAAAACGAGGAGAATCGAGTTTGTGATGATGATGATGATGATGAGGTGGATTATTTTTTGTTCGCGGCGGATATTCGGGCCCGTTTGAGCCCGCCATTGCCCGGGAGCTACTTTGGCAACTGCTTATCGGGCGGGCTTGCGAAGGTTCGGCACGAGGAGTTGATCGGACCGAACGGGCTTTTTGTGGCGGCCCGGGCCATAGCCGACGAGATCAAGAACAAGTTGAATGGTAAGGATAGAATCATGGGATGGTTGGAGAATATTGGGAAGGAAATAATGTCGATTGGTGGAAAACGGATGTTTTCTGTGTCCGGGTCAGCCAGGGTTGATTTGTACGGAGCGGATTTTGGGCTCGGGAGGGCCCGAAAGGTTGAGGCTTTGTCGATCGATGGGGAAAAGTATTCGATGTCGTTGTGTAGGCCGAGGGATTGTGAGGATGGATTGGAGATTGGGCTTTCTTTGCCTAAGGATAAAATGGATGTTTTTGCTAGTTTGTTTGATGATGGTTTGGAGTAAAAGGGGTTGTTTGTTGTAGCTTTGATTTGTTGTTATTGTTGTTGTGTTAAAAGGGTTTTGTAGTAGAGTTGTTTTTGTTTCACTTGGTATGATCATGTGGTGAAATGAATGGGTTATGATTTGAAGGAAAACGTGCATAAACAAGAAATGGAAATAAGGACCGCGATTGATGAAAATAGTATCCAAGTTTTGTCTGAGTAGTTTGTGTTTAAATTTAACNCATTATGGATACCTTATGTGGAGTTTACTAAAAATGTGTACGTTGGTCTAAAGATAAAAGTAGTTCTTTGGAAGAAATTTTTAAAAATGACTTTTGACTATAATTCGTTTCCAAATTAAAAGCTGTATTTATAATACTTTCAATAATATCCGTTTTTTTTTTCAAAAAATATGATGAATTATCAATTTAATCTTAGATTGATCTCCGCCTAGTTTAAGAAAGCAATAGAGGATAATGAATGGTTGACCACTCGAGACGTATTTGTTGACATGTTCATGCATTGGGGTGTTGAAGACAGCTGAAGTTTTTGTTATTTTCGATTCCTTTTTCTTTTCCTTTATTTTTACTGCTTGTAAAGGCGTGAGTCACTTAATTGACTCGTGTTTACGCCTCTTATCTGTTTTTTATGTTTTCCCTTTACTTTCTTATTTTCCACGTGTCGCATCTTGATATGGTGAGTCTGAGCTGAGGGAATATTATGTACTCGCTGCGATCGTCTTCTTCTTTTTTTGTGAGATCTGGTTTTGTAAGCTGTTGGCTAATGAAAAATGGTGTTTTCAAAAGATTGATTTCGTTTTAGTTTAGCTCGTATATTTTGATTTCCAGTTTCTACATGGTATCACTAGGGCCACTTGGATTTTTCTTATGAAATATAAGTCTGAAACATGTGGTCACATTAAGTTTTTCTTGAAAATGGTAGAAGTTCAGTTTGATGAGAAGGTGAAAAAGATAAGGACAGACAATGGAACAGAATTTGTAAATAAGGAGGTGGTTGATTTGCTTAGAGACAAAGGAGTCATCCATCAGAGGTCCTGCCCATATACTCCACAGCAAAATGGGGTAGTGGAGAGGAAGCATAGAGTGATTTTGGAAGTGGCAAGATCTATATCATTTCAGGCAAACCTTCAAAGAGATCTTTGGCCTTATAGTCTTCTAGCTGCAGTACAGATCATTAACACTTTGCCCAGTGAGAAGTTGGGTTGGAAAAGCCCTTTTGAAATGCTTCATGGTGTTCTACCCACCTATGGTATGTTTAAAGTTTTTGGATGCCTCTGCTATGCCAAAAGAAACAGTCCACACACAAAGAAATTTGATGAGAGAGCCATTGCTTGTGTGTTTTTGGGTTATATTTCAGGAGTAAAGGGGTACAGACTATTTGATCTAAAGACAAGGGAGGTTTTTGTTTCAAGAGATGTGGCCTTTTATGAAGGCCAATTTCCTTTTTCAAGAGGAGCTGAAGTATCTGACTCAGATGGCATCAATGTGCCACTGCCTGTGGTGAATGAAATCCAGGAAGAAGGGTTGATTGATAGAGGGTCACAAGTTTGTGATGAAAATTCAATACCAGGAAGTTTGGTGAAAAATCCTACTCAAATGACAGATAGAAACAAAAGAGAAAGGAAGAAGCCTGAGTGGATGAAAGATTATGTGATGGATGATTTTTCCTCAGATGATGAAACAGTGGAGACAACTTTATTCTTCACTGAAGTTGAGAGATCCTTATCAGAACCTGTGCATTATGAGCAAGCTTTACAAGATGATAGGTGGATTGAGGCCATGAACAAAGAGTTGGAAGCCCTTGAGATTAATAACACTTGGGAACTCACACAGTTACCAGCTGGAAAAAAAGCCATTGGCTCAAGATGGGTTTATAAAATTAAGAGGAATCCTGATGGAAGTGTGGACAAATTCAAAGCAAGATTAGTGGCAAAGGGATATCTCCAAAAAGAGGGAATTGATTTCTTTGACAGTTTCTCTCCGGTTGCTAAATTGGTTTCAGTTAGGCTCCTTATAGCTTTAGCAACACAACAAAGGTGGGAGCTACATCATATTGATATCAATAATGCTTTCCTTCATGGTTTTTTGGATGAAGAGGTGTATATGTTACCACCTAAGGGATATGATAAAGCCAAGAAGGGAGAGGTTTGCTTGCTGAAAAGGAGTTTATATGGTTTAAAACAGGCTTCGAGGCAATGGAACATTGAATTTTCAGAAAAACTGCTCAGTTATGGCTTTACTCAGTCCCCTCATGATCATTGCATGTTTATTAAGATTTCAGGTTCTTCAACTCTAGCATTACTGATTTATGTTGATGATGTCCTTGTTGCTGGAGATTCACTGAGTGCTATTGCGGACCTCAAGTAATACCTTCATAATCTTTTTACTATCAAGGATTTAGGGAAGGCAAAATACTTCTTGGGTTTGGAAATTTGCAGTACTGGGAAGGGAACTTATCTCTCTCAGAGAAAGTACATACTGGACATAGTTCGTGATCTTGGTTTGGAAGATTGTAAACCAACTATGACTCCATTGCCCCCAGGAATAAACCTGTCATCACAGGATTCACCAACCTTTTCAGATTCTTCACTCTACAGGAGACTCATTGGGAGATTATTGTATCTGAATCTTTCAAGAGCAGATATCTCTTATGGTGTCCAACAACTTAGCCAATTTGTCCAACACCCTACACAGGCACATTGGAATGCTGCTGTTCATTTGGTTAGATATTTGAAGGGCACTCCTACTTTCGGCCTTTATTATGCAACAACTCCTTCACTACAGCTCGAGGCCTTTTGTGATGCCGACTGGGGTAGTTGTGCTCTGACCAGAAAGTCACTCACTGGATATTGTATTTTCCTTGGGCAAGCTTTGGTGTCATGGAAGACTAAAAAGCAGAAAACCGTTTCTCGATCTTCAGCCGAGGCCGAATATAGATCCATGGCCAGCACGGCTTGTGAGCTTCAATGGCTTACATTTCTGGGTCCAGATCTTTCTCTTTCCTTATCCTCTCCCATATCTCTGTGGTGTGACAACAAAGCAGCTCTCCATATTGCCGCAAACCAGGTCTTTCATGAGCGTACAAAACACCTTGATATTGATTGCCATGTGGTGCGCAATCTTTACAAAGATGGTTTTCTTTTTCCTCGTCACATCTTATCTTCTCTCCAGCCAGCGGATATGTTCACTAAATCTCTGGGCCGTGGTGATTTTCAGCGTTGTGTTTGCAAGTTGGGAATGTGTGTTAACCCTCACCTTCCCACTTGAGGGGGGGGGGGGGGGGGTGTTGACATGTTCATGCATTGGGGTGTTGAAGACAGCTGAAGTTTTTGTTATTTTCGATTCCTTTTTCTTTTCCTTTATTTTAACTGCTTGTAAAGGCGTGAGTCACTTAATTGACTCGTGTTTACGCCTCTTATCTATTTTTTATGTTTTTCCTTTACTTTCTTATTTTCCACGTGTCGCATCTTGATAGGGTGAGTCTGAGCTGAGGGAATATTATGTACTCGCTGCGATCGTCTTCTTCTTTTTTTGTGAGATCTGGTTTTGTAAGCTGTTNTAGAAAATTGAGGATGTGGTGCTTGTTCAAACTTCCAACCCAGTAGGCCTGCACAAATTTCTCATTATAATATTTTCCTTTATTGTTGTTATCATGGAGTGGAATAACTGTTAGCTCTGCATTTTTTATTTCAAAAAAATAAAAATGAAAATGAAAGATAGAAAGTGATGTAGAACGTAATACGAACCGGAATTAAATTGAGATATTCTCTCAATAACTGATAAAAATGAGATACTCTCTCAAGCAGATAAATTTTTCAAGTTCAAAAAAACTAAAAATTCTTAACCCTTCCAACAACATATAAATAAAAAGGAAAATTAAAGTTTTCTAATCTTCCCCACAACTGTAAGATAATTATTTTCTTACCCCAAAATACTAATTACCTAAAGGAAATAAAATAAAATAGTACGAATAATAATGAGACATCAAAACCGGCTAAATCCGAAAACGATCATATTTATTCAAATAAGCCATGGCGGTCTGGTCTTCATCATAAAGCCAAAAATCATAAAAAATAGATCATTCATAAACCATTCCTTCAAAAAGAGAGAGAACACACACATTTATTTCATCCCAAGTTCCCAACACAACACAACACAACATGAAAGTGAAAGAAACAACAAACCTTTCATGAAAACCATTGACAAAAAAACTCATAACTCAAAAGCCCTTTAAGGCTTTAACCCATCACTAAACAAACCAGCAAAAACATCCATTACAGCCTTAGGCAGAGAAAGACCAATCTCCAAACCTCCTTCGAAATCCCTTGGCTTACAAATCGACATCGCGTATTTCTCCCCATCGATCGACAATGTCTCCACTTTCCGAGCCCTCCCAAACCCGAAATCCGCACCGTACAAATCGACCCTATTCGATCCGGACACCGAAAAAACCCGTTTCCCAACGATCGACCCGATTTCTTCAATCCGATCCTCGAGCCTCTCCAAGACTCGATCTTTATCATTCACCACGTGTTTCACCTGCTCGGCTATTACCCGAGCCGCCAAAACAAATCCACCGGGCCCAACTAGCTCTCCGTTTCGGGCCCTCCCAAGCCCGCCCGACAAGAAGTTACCAAAGTAATTCCCGGGCACCGGTGGGTCGACCCGCGCTCGGATATCAGCCGTAAACATGAAAAATTCTACGTCATCATTGCCACCTACTCGACTCTTCTCTTCTTCCTCGACAGCCGAAAGGGATTTCGCAAGACACGTCCACGCGTACGCTGACGTCACCACAAAAGACGACAGGTGGACAAAGCTCGGAACCTCGGCCGACACGAGATCCTTGAGTTTCTCGATTTGGGCTCGACTCACAATGTACGTGGCCCGAACCCTTTTCGTCGGAAGGGGAAAAGGCGAAAGGGTCAACTGATTTCTCTTCGCTCGGTTCCAAATGAACGAGCCGAATCCACGCGGGTCCTTAATCATTGACCGGTCAAAAACCGGAAGAGAATAATCTTCGTGAGATTCCCTAGCTCGATCGAGCTTACACGTCGAAGCCCAAGCGCGTATAAATCCCACGATCGAGCTTGCATCGCCAGCCGCGTGGTGATTGGCTATACCGATGCATACGCCGCGGCCCGGAAACAGAGTTACTTGCAGGGCAAGCAACTTGAGAAGCTTTCGACCGGATGAGTCTATAGCTATATCCGGCAATTGGGGGATATAATCGTAAAATGAGTCGGCTTCTCTGGGTTGGTTCCCGACGAGAAGGTCGAAATCGTCATTCGACTCGAAAATCGCCAGCGGAACAGAGTCGCCGGGCTCGAATCGGATAACGGGCTTATCTTCTTCGCTCGTGTCTGAAGGGTATACTATTTTGCCGGCGAGAGGGAAGTACTGCTTGAGAACTCGAGCTAGCGAGTGCTTGAGCTTGGGTACGAGGTTGTCCGAAAACTCGGGTTTTGAGCAAGAAAGGTCGTAAAATAGGAGGCGGCGAATGGGGTGAAAATGCAGCCAAAAAATGTCTTGGTAAGTGAGAGGTAGAGAACATTTGGCTGCAGAATCGGGCGGTGGCCCGACTCGGCAGATTTCAATAAACGCAGTCATATTTTTTCTAACAGAATTTGAGAGAAAGATGTGAAGGTGTATAGTTTTTTATAAGTATGAGATGAGATTATTATTGCAAAGGGTGTTAGTTAGTTCATTGGTCTCTTTTGATTTACAGAATCTCTTACTTTTTTTGTTTTGTTGCTCAGTAGTCAAATTATTTCTAGAAGGTCAAGAATTTGGGCTGCAATTGGTAATAAAAAATTGAAAAAGAAATGGAAAAAAATGATATAAATTTCGAAATAAAAAAATATAATGAGGTACTATGAATATAAAACAAATCTTGAATTGCATAAAATTTAAATAATAGTGATTGTTCGTAAAAAAATAATATCTGCATGAAAGAAATTTAATTGCTATTATTATACGCTATTAAAATTATAAAAATATACAAAAGCAAATATAGCACTATGATAGACATAAAATACAGAATATAAATTATAATTAAGTTCCCAATTTTAGTTCTTAGATTTTGGTTGGAAAATATTTATTCAGTTCTCTAGACATTCTTTTAAATTCTCATATTTGTATTGATATTTTCTACACAAACAAGAAATGGAATATTGAATGAATATATTTTCATGATATTTTTCTCATGTCTAAAATAGGTGTATGATAATCAATTGTCTCTCCTTAAAAAAAAAAGAAGAAAATAACAATATAAGAAGAATTATAGTTTTTCTTTTTCAAATTAAAAAAGAAAAAGATTACAAATTAATTCATCAAACACATAGTTTTTAAACCCGGCCCGGAAATTGACCCGGGCAGGTCTCCGGGTCACCGGTTCAACTGCCGGGTCACCGGGTCAATTGTTGAACCGGATAATTAATTTTAAATTTTTTTAAATTATATATAGAGTATTTTGTCTTATAATATACATAAAAATAACAGAATTAAATATTTTGTATATAAAATTTACACATTAAAGTGCTAATAATATGTATTTCATGATAAATATTGACCGGGTCCGTTATTTTCCGGTCCGAATAGCCCACTCGGACCGGTTCCAGCTCCGGGTCGACCGGGTCCTGGGTCGACCCGCCGGGCCGGTCCGGGTTGAAAAACACTGACCAAACATCCCCACAATTTATAAAAAATTACTACTCTAGTACTAGAGTAGTGCCCCGTGACGTTTAAGTCCAAAAAGTCATCTCACGCGCCAAAGGGAAATTAACAAAATAAAGAATGAATCTTTAATATGATTGGATAGCATATCCCGCACACGTTTTTCATAAAAAGAAGGAGAAAACCAATACAACTTCTCTTTGATTGAGTTGATACGTGGGTTTATTGTAATTATATGCTATTTTAAGGAAAGTGACGAATAATTGGAGGGATCTCATCTCAAGCGCTAATCCTCCTCGTCGATACATTGTGCAAACGAGTCGAATCAAATCGAGCAGTGCATTAATCGAGTCGAGAGCAATTTTTTCTACTGTTGATCGAGTTCGACGATAAAGCAAGCATCAGCCGATTTAATAACATTATATAACTACTCGAAAGTAACTCAAATTTATTACACTTATTGAAAGACTTGCAAAAATATGACATTAAACAAGGGAAATGCTCATCTACCCACGGTGGACACATGTTAATATACCCACCGCTGATGTGGCATGCACACTCGGTGATGTATTTTTTTAATATATAACATCACCAATGTGTGCATACCACATCAACGATGAACATATTAACATGTGTCCACCGTGGGTAGGTGAACATTTCCGCATTAAATAAGTTTTAAATAAAAAAAATACAAATTAGGACCCCTAAATACAAAAACAAACCACAAATTTGACTTTTAATAAATAAATTTTTTTGCAATTAAACAAAAAAATGTAGTAAATTTAAAAAAGTTTAAAGAAAAAATTATAAATGAATGATGTAAATTATTCAACTGCTAGTTTGATTTCGGGTCAAATTCAGCTCAAACTAGGAGTAATTAGGTAATTAAAATATACTCAAGTAGCTTATTGAACAATCAAATGTAGAAAATCCAAATTCGAGCTATGCTCGAGTTCGAGTTCAAGGCACTCGAGCTCAACTCAAGCTCGGTCAAATTCAACTCAAGCTCGGTCAAATTTGTGTAATTGTGCAATATTATGGGGACCAGAAAGTGAAAACCAAGAGAATTGAAGGTAGCTACCTGATGATAACGAGTCCCGCGTGATGATAACCAAAGTTTGGCAACGACAAATAACTACTGACCCAGTCCGCCATTTGAGCCACTTTCTCTGGTCCTTCGCTTCAGTTTCTTTTCTTTCTATCCTCATTGAATTTCGGCCTCGTCGCACATAACATTCGTGATTTAATGCGGATCACGCGTTTTTTTGCTTGTTCATATAGACGGATTTCTTCTAATTTGCATCAGTTTGTGAACACTTGAAGTTTTTGCTGCGTGATTCGTTTTCCATCCCTAAGAGAACGGAAGTGTGTTGGATTTGTTTGCAGAGGTTCTGAAATCTGAATTCTCATTCCTTTTTTATGATTTCTTTTGATTTATGTTGCTTCTGCAAATGGCGGTGATTGGGTATGTATGATGATGAGATTATGTGTTGGTGTTCTAAGATAGCTTACGCCATTTTTGAATTATAAGTTTGTGGGTCGGAATAATTCTGTTTGATTTTGTATGGATCTGGCGTCCACCGGTAATTTTGCTATTTCATTTGGGCCCGACGCATGCAATTGACTTCTTAGGTGTTTGGGTGCTTTCACTTTTGTTCCAATGGTGGTTAATCGGTGCGGTGTTTCTGGGAATTTCCCACTGTGCCATGTGGCTCGAAGATGCTAAAAGCATCTCGATTTTAACGGATAGATATTAGCTTATTTGTCGACCTGCTGCTTGTTGTTTCAACTTGTTGGAGAAGTCTGGCATTGTTGTTCTAGTGGTGAATGTTTGAGCATGAGGTGGAATAGTTTTTTGTGCACGTGTTGTTATTGGTAATTCATTCGTGTTTGATGTTCGGGGGACAGGGGAAGCATGCATCGAGCTTATTTTAAGCCCCAACATTTGGTCAAGTGTGTGAGTCATGATAGAGCTGTTGAATACGTTGAACGATGGTGAAATATATGAATAGATAATATCGTTGTTGATTCATTGAATCTAGAGATTTTGTTTGTTTTGCTTTTACTGATTGGGACTCGCATATATACATAATTGTTTATGCATGTAACTAAATTCATGGTGGCCACTACTCATTTGGTTCGTATTACAGTTGCTGACATGGAGTTAGGAATGGCGGGTTTGAGTATTGATTCTGAGAACTTTGTGAAGCAATTTCACATCCCAAGCTATATCCTTGTTCCGGAAGAAACTGTTGAGTCTTTGCCCCATGCACCCGAATGCCCTGTTTTGGTGTTTATCAATTCAAGAAGTGGTGGTCAATTAGGTGGTGATCTTCTTATCACATACCGGTCTATACTGAATGAGAAACAGGTGAATTTGGCTTATACCATTACGAGATTTCTTTGGTGCACGAAGTCTATATTTCTTGATGAGTCTTACTTTTGTGGATCTCTGGAACTTCAATTCTGGTGGCTTTGCCCTAATTTATTATATGAATGTAGATTCTTAAACAAGAAGACCCTCTAGATATATAGGTACTGGTTCGCTATATTGCTGTGGATGTTCGAAGGATTTTAAGTTTAGTCTAGTTTCATTAATATATCGAAATCCTTTGTTCATGCACTGACTCCATTGTTTTTTCAGGTTTTTGATTTAGGATCAGAAGGCCCTGATAGTGTACTCCGTAGAGTTTTTCTCAATCTTGAACGGCTGAAGAACAATGGTGACGAATTTGCGACTAAACTTGAGAAGAAGCTGCGAATAATTGTGAGTGGTGCTATAAGAAAAAATGGCCTTTTCATATTGTTTTTGTGGTGCGTATGGAAATTAATGCATGCGAAATCTATATTTTCTCGTGAAACGATTAATTATAGACTGTTATGCATAGGTTGCTGGTGGAGATGGTACAGCTGGCTGGCTTCTTGGGGTGGTTTCTGATCTGAAATTGTCCAATCCACCACCAATAGCAACTGTACCTTTGGGAACGGGAAATAATCTGCCATTTGCATTTGGTTGGGTAAGATGAAGTCTGTATTTTTCGTTCATACAATGGTTGACTCACTGCATCTATGCTTATAGTGTATTGCATCTGTTATGATAATAAGTTCTTGCTGTGTCACATCATAAGTTATACTAAATCACATTGTACATATACTTTCTTTCTTCTTCCCTCCTTTTCACTTTTTGTTGATATTCTGCTAGTCACAGCCTTTTCTTGTCTTCTTTGGACATCCTATTTCTGGGTGTTAATAAAGCCAGTGTCTCTTGAAATATGCTATCATAGGATTTCAGTTCGTTTCTGAAAGAGTTGTCCATTCTTATTTCAATTACAGGGTAAGAAAAATCCTGGTACTGACCGTAATTCTGTGCTCTCATTCTTGGATCAAGTGAGGAGAGCAAAAGAAATGATGATCGACAGGTTACTCTTAACATTAGCAAATTTCAGTTTTGTAATAATAATACTTCTCATAGTACTCCTGTTTTGAAGACTATTGCTTGTCTAAGAAGGTTCGATGACGATGTATATAGAGATCCAATATTTGCTAAGGATTTACAACCAATTTCCTTGCCCTTCTAAAGAGTTTGTATTATTTCTTTCAGTTGGCACATTCTCATGAGGATGAGAGTACCGAAAGAAGGAACATGTGAGCCACTTGCTCCTCTGGAGTTGCCACATTCCTTGCATGCATTTCATCGGGTTTCCTCAACCGACGATCTTAACATGGTGAGAATAATTTTCTCTCTCTAGGTTTACTACAATTTTAGACATTTATATTTATCTGTGTGGATTAAGGACTAGTACAATGCTGTTCTGCTCTGAATTTCTTCACCTCACCTGATACTTCTTAAGTTCTTATATTTATTTGCTGAAACCTCAATTTTTGTTTGGCCAACCAAGGCAAAGAAATTTTGCATTATTAACATGGCATTTCTA